TGATGGCGTCAGAGGTGACGGCCGTGGAGGGCCTGTGGCTGAACGAGGGGACAGACGCGAGTGAAGAAGGGCCTGTTCCTGGAAGGATCGCAGCTCTCTGGGAGGGCCTGGGGCATCGTTGTCGCAGTCGTGTCTGACCACTGAGCCTCAGGGGCTCAGAGTCCCCGTTCGTCAGTTCTTAGGTGGCCAGTGATGGCTCAGGAACGCCCCTCTGCACCAGGCTGGTTGAAGCACCTGCGTTTGGGTGTGGGGGCCTCTGCCGCGCGGGCTGGGCGCGAAAACCAGTTCACTTCCGGAAGTTGCAGTGGGCGTAGCTCGACGACGACGGTGGTGCGCCACCACCTGCGTTCTTGCGTCTGTTGGGCCCGGACAGTCCATGGGTGTTTCTTGATTTTTCCCCTGTAACTGATCGTAGTATAGGTTCCGTCGTGAACAGAACAGGCAAGATATCACAATCCCCTCGAAGCGGACGTTCTAGGATACAGAAAATACAAAGGATGTGAGTAACATACGCACCGTGCGGATGGTGGTGATTCCTCAAAAGAAGAAACAAAGCGAGGGGAGGGGTGTGCTGAGGGCCTGAGCCGTGTGTGCCTCTGGGAGAGTCTTCCTCTGGGACCGTTATCTCTGAGGGTGTGCCTAGGATGTGTGCTTGGGGGTGCCATCGTATTTCCAGTGATGAAGGCTGGGTGATTCTGTATATTTGTCTGCAGGGCCACATGTGTCTGTCCGATAGGTTCCATGTGTTCCATCATCCTGGTGATGATGGTCCCTGTGTCCAGGCAGGAGTGTCAGTGCCTGTCTCACTGCATGCGGTAGTGGTTTTTTTGTGCCTATGTATGGGCTCCCCAGTCTGTGTGTAATGAAATATAAAGGCCTGTCAGGTGCAGATTTACAAGCGGGTTCTACTTAACTTCTAAGAGGCACATAATTATCGTGTATTAAATTCCTACATGTGAAAAAACTGGAAACCTTTACGATTATTTTTAGTAAGTTTGTGCAAGCTCCATACTGCATGAAATGGAAAGGTTGGGATCAAGCCAACTGTTTAGGTTTATTCAGTAATCAGTGAAATGAAATAAAATTCAGATATATAAGTAAGTTTTAAGGTTTCTTTATTTTGAGAGAAGTGTGGGGGCAGGCAGAGAGAGAATCCCAAGCAGACTCTGCTGTCAGCACAGAGCCTGATGTGGGGCTCGATCTCCTGAATCAGGAGATCATGGACCTGAGCTGAAATCAAGAGTTGGATGCTTAATGACCGAGCCACCCAGGCTCTCCTTATGCATAAATGCTTTGATACATATACGTGTCCATGAAACCATGACTGTGATCATAATAAACTAGAAAACTCAGTTTTGAATGAGGACTAAGTTACAAATGGGATATTGGACAGTATAAATTCTCAATTTATTAGATACCTACCAAAAACTGGAGCTCGTTTCAGGGATAAAAATGTTTCCATGTTATAAAATACAAATATTATCATATTTTACCAAGAAGACGAAGCAGGCATTGCTGCCCAGTGGTAAAAATTATGGATACGTTAACACATGGACAGTAACAAAGGATTATTTAAAAGGGAGTAATAAATCTGTCAACTCCATGTATGATAATCAACTTACTGAAGATTTACGTGAAGGAGGAAGCTAGAACACTCTTGGAAGTTACGGCAAGTTTTTGTGACTTTGGAATATGGGGAGTTTTCTTACATAAGAAAAAATAGTAAGCTACAAAGGAAGAGAATGAGAAATTAAACTATTAAAACTAATTACAGACCACTGAAATGTAGAATAAAGGGGGTACAAAGATAAACCACAGTCTGGGAGACAATATTTGCAACACGTACAAATGAAAAAGATGCATATCCAGAGTATATGAAGAAATCAGAAGAAACCAATAAACATACAAATGAATTAAAAGTAAGAAAATGATAAAGATTACACAGACGAAAGACATACAAAGTGCTCAATATCATTGGTAATTAGTAAAAAGCAAGACACACGAGGCAACCCTGTTTCACATGGACTATATAGGCAAATATTCAACAGTTGCAGTGTGGTCAATCATCTTATGCAAGAATAGTGGGAGTGTTGATTCACACATCCCATTGGCATTTCCTATACATTTGAAATTATCCATAGTCTCCAATTCGGTAGTTTTTCTCCAATGTGTAGAGGATTTGTTATGAACTGCCACTTGGAAATCGAGACAAGAATGATAGGAGCAGCATTTTCCACGCCAGGAAAACATACACATGAAAGAGCCCCGAAACTATAAGCACTGGAAAGGATGAGTAAATTGGGTCACCCCCAGCCACAGATGCCTGCATGTGTGAAACAGACTGAGGCAAGGAAATCAGTGACGACCATGTTCCAGGTAATTCTATTCCTATCTTTTCATGAAAAGCTCAAAAAAGGCAGAGTTAGACAAAACACTACTTAGTGATGAGTCGTAGTAAAGCTCTGAAGAATAACTATAAAATTCAAATACTGGTCACATCTGGGAGTAGGAGGGAAATGAAGGGTGGACACACTGGGGTCTAATATCTGCCCAAAGTCTATCGATGATTGTTCCAAACTACAGAGTTTATATAATATTAATATTTATTGTTTTAATTTTGGAGAGCATGTGTGCAAGTAGGGGAGGAACAAAGGGGGGTGGGTGGGGAGAGAGAGAGAGAGAAAGAAATCTCAAGCAGGCTCTATGCTCAGTGCAGAGCCCCATGCGGGGCTGGATCCCAGGTCCCTGGGATCACAACCTGAGCCAAAATCAAGAGTTGGGCCATCAACCAACTGAGTTACCCAGGCACCCCTACAATATTAATATTTAAACTTAAGAGAAAATTGGGGCACCTGTGTGGCTCAGTTGGTTAAGCAACTGACTCTTGATTTCGGTTCAGGTCATGATCTCATGGTGGTGAGATTGAGCCCCAAGCTGGACTCCATGCTGAACTTGGGATTCTCTCTCTTCCTCTCTTCTTGCCCCTCCCTCTCCATCTCTCTCTCCCTCTCTCTCTCTCAAAATAAATAAGTAAACTTAAAAAAATAAACTTAAGATAAAATGTTTTATGCAATGTTTGCAAAGTATGAGACACGCTACACAAATTTATTTTTTTTTTTAATTTTTTAACGTTTATTTATTTTTGAGACAGAGAGACAGAGCATGAACGGGGGAGGGTCAGAGAGAGAGGGAGACACAGAATCTGAAACAGGCTCCAGGCTCTGAGCGGTCAGCACAGAGCCTGACGCGGGGCTCGAACTCACGGACCGCGAGATCATGACCTGAGCCGAAGTCGGCCACTTAACCGACTGAGCCACCCAGGCGCCCCACGCTACACAAATTTAAAGAATTGTTTACATGTGAAAAAAAAGTACAATTTAAAGATATTTGTTTTACTGTATTATCTGACCACCTACCTCGCTTTGGTTTCAGTCTGTTTGGAAGGTATTCACAAGTCTTTTAACTGAGCCCATTTAACTTGCCCTTATATTCATTTGAGTAGCAACAGATTAAGTATGAGCCCAGTGTCTAGAGAGAACTGGTTACACGAATTTATACCATTGTATGCGCCTTGATATGAAATGAGCTGCAGGAATTTATTTCTAATTGAATAAAGTTGAAGCATATACCAGTGTGTAACCATGTTACCTTAATATATCTAAGAGGAGAAAAAACGTAGTTGAAATTGCTTCTCTTTACATAAAGAAAAACTGGTCATAGGTACAAAAACTAATAAAATTGGAATTTGGAGGGGGCAAATGGACACGAATTCTGGAGGGTATGCTAGGAGAGAGTTTTAAGGCAGATTTCTAAACCTCGTGCTGATTATTTAAAACTTGGTGTCCATTTATAAACAATAAACAAGTATATTAACCATATCTAATTTTTAATACTTTATAAATCAAATGAGAAATATATTTTTAATGAGAAGCCTCTCTTCTACATGCTACTTCTCTGAGCTCTAATTTTTATGAAAGCGGACAATACTTTTTGCAAACCATAAAATAGGAATTTCTTCAACTTTGTAAATAAGATGTGCCATAGAGTGTCCTTCCACTAGCTCTCAAACTGGGAGGTATTTTCAGAAAAGGGAAGCGTATTAAATGCACTAGGAATTTTGACTCAATCTGTTCAGCATATTAAACTTCTGGGTCCATGCCAAATTCATATAAGCTTTTGCTATTTTCTTCTATCAGTTAAATGGCCTGAGGGATAGCATAACCGTTCACATTTCAAAGTTCTCTAGGGATATACTAAAAAATGGATCTGCAAATAATTTCCTTTTAGTGTAGAATGTGAAGCTGAGGATTTTAATGAACATGTCCGGTAACTTGTGGTCCTTCTGAGAAAAGATCTTGAGCCCAGTTTCAGGCTGTGGGGTTCAAATTCCTCGCTAGCACCTGGCACTTGGAGGCTGCAGTTTCCTGATCTAAAGCAGCAGATGAGGGGGGTGGGGAAGAATGGGTGAGGCCACAACGGTGTCAAGGGCCAAATATCAAAACGTATCCAGACCCTGCACTGCACGTGGTGAAGTCACGATCAAATGTATGTGTGTTAAAAAATTTTTTTTTCTTTATGTTTTTTATTTTTTTATTTTTTTTATTTTTAAGAGAGAGACACAGAATCCGAAGCAGGCTCCAGGTTCTGGGCTGTCAGCACAGAGCCTGATGTGGGGCTCGAACTCAAAAGCGGTGAGATCATAACCTAAGGCCAAGTCAGATGCTCAACCGACTGAGCCACGCAGGTGCCCCCAAATGTCTGTGTTCTTTTTTTTTTTTTTTTAATTTTTTTTTCAACGTTTTTATTTATTTATGGGACAGACAGAGACAGAGCATGAACGGGGGAGGGGCAGAGAGAGAGGGAGACACAGAATCGGAAACAGGCTCCAGGCTCCGAGCCATCAGCCCAGAGCCCGACGCGGGGCTCGAACTCACGGACCGTGAGATCGTGACCTGGCTGAAGTCGGACGCTCAACCGACTGCGCCACCCAGGCGCCCCGTAAATGTCTGTGTTCTTAAAGAGCCCAGACCCAAGGGTGACCTTGCAGTCCCAAGCCAACCTCTGACCCCTGGAGGACACCAGGGCCTCCTGTCCTGTCTTGTCCCAGCCCAGCCGGGATTCGACACCCCTCCTTCTCTGGACAGAGAGGTATTGCTTGGTGGGGAAATGGGAGTCTGGAAACAGGAGGTGCCACAGACCTGCGGGAAGACGCCGAAGTCCTTGGGGGAACTAGAGCTGGTTCTACTTGTACCCAAGTGTCCCTACTGTGACCAGCCGGAAGGGGCCAGCCACTCGTGTTGCAGTCGTGCTGAATCGTCCCGTCGGGGGCCCTGGGGCGAGGGTGGTGGATTATCTGGTTGGGAGGGCTGGGGCGGGGTCTGCAAGCCGTGTCCAATCAGGGTCCGCGGTCTCGGAGCACCGTCCAATCAGAACCGCGGGCGGGCTCCCAGCCGTGTGGGCTGGGCTCTGAGACCGCCAGAGGCGCTAGTGTGCACCTGCCCGGTGCGGCTGCAGGTGTCTGGGTCGGCGTCGCGCTCACCTGCCTGGGCCATGGAGCCACGGGGAGGACGCCAGGAGAGCCTGCAGCGAGGCCGCGAGATGGTGAGTGCGTGGGGTCGGCCGAGACCGGGAGGGGCTTGTTCAACAGCCGGTACCGTCTGGAGGTGGCCGCGGCCCGGGTTCCTCTCCCCAACCCCTCTCCAGGGTCTGACCCGAGTTTCTGTCCTTGCCCGCGGGGTTGGGTCCCAGCGTCCTGTCCCATCCCCGCGCGGGTCTGGGGTTCTCAGGACTGCCTGGGGTGACCAGATGAGCACAGCTTGCTATCCACCCGGGGGTCGGGGAATCTCAGCCCGGAGTTAGCTCCTCCTACAAGAGAGCCTTAGGGGACGAGTGAGGAGTGCGGGGAGACCTGCTTGGGGTCCTGGGCTCGGAGAGATCCTCTGGTATGTCCTGGATCCCTAGGTGACCTCGACCCCAGTTCTCATTTCCTGGAGGGACATTAGTTGTCAGTTGACCAGATGCTGGTATGGAAGGGAAGAGAGGAATGGTTCCTGCCCCCTGGATTCTCACGGTGAAGGATGAAAAACCCGAAGGACAAAGAAAACCCAGTGAGTTGGTGCTGCAACCTGCAAAGCAAAGTGCACTGCAGACCCGCAGTGGGACAGGAGCCAGTGCCCTTTGGGAGGCTGTTCAGCGAGCATTTCAGAGAACAGGTGTTGGGGGGTGGATGTCCCACGTGGTAGGATGGCCGTGCTTGACCCTTGAGTCATCTCAGTGTTCCCGTTCTGCACTGCCCCGCCCTGAGTTTGTCACCTTGCAAAGATTTATTTGGTTATTCGAGCCTGAGATTTGTCAGTAAATGTAAAATACATTTAATTAATAGAAAGATTAGATAAAAATAATTCCAAAGAAACGGGAAGGTTCAAGTTCAGAAATAATAATAAAAAGATCTAGTCTTACATACCATTTGTTAAAAATTCTTTTGTGCCTTTTTTTTTTCCTCTCCTTGAGCATGTGTGGTTAAGTTTCTCACATCTGTTGTTTTCTTTTTGGTGACGACAAATGGAGTTCCAGGACTTAGCCTCGAGGATGCTACTGGGGAAAAGAATCTAAGAGAAATAGAGAAAGCTTCTCTCGCATTATGAATGCATAAAAATGAATGCATTTACACACACACAAAAGCTTGGCCTATTAATTGGTGAGTTACAAAGACTCACCAAAATGTCAGCTATTTTTTGTTTACTGGGTGGGGAATATATGACTGTGGATAATTTTATTCTGTCTGGTATTGGATTTCAGAGATTAATGCTAAATCCTATTTCGTGAAATTTGCATCACGTGTTGAAATGTGATTGTTTATAAAGCATTTTATTCCCATGGAAATAATAAAGTGACATCTTTATTTTCTCTGAAAGGAACAGATACTTGTGGGTTTTCTTCTTTAGTCTTCTCTCTCCTTTATACATGAACACTGGGTTTGAGTGATGTTGCCGGATTCCTCAAACACTGAGTTTGTGTCATTTAAATCAATAGGGTCCAACAAGAGTGACTACCTCGAGTGGGGATAGGGGCCCTGCCCAGTGACTCCAAGCTAAGTAAGGCCAATCATGAGATATCAGAGAGAGAGAGAGAGAGAGAGAGAGAGAGAGAGAGAGAGAGAGAATATGAAATGGTTTTTTTCTGGAGCTTCTCTTCTGTGCTCATGTCCCAGCCTGTCCACGCCATCTGCAGGAGGAATGTGTGTACCTAGAAATGCTGCAGGGCACTGAAAAATGTGTGTGGTTGGGGGAGAAAGAGTTATGAATTTGGGGGTTCATTTGGGTTAGAACTTTAAACTGGCTCCAGCCAAGAGTTTCCTGGGTAGTGAGAACTGAAGCCTGGAGAGGGAGCATTTCCGCACTGCAGGGAGGGGAGTGGAGGGTGTGTGGAGCTCCAGAGTTCATCCGTGTGTCTGCTCAGGTCACCCTATCTCCATCGCTGGGGACTGATCCAGCAGAAGGCTGGCATTTCTGCAGTGAGGTTCTGGACCCCAAGCCTGTGGGTGTGTTTCACCTTCTGAACCTGGTGGGTGTTCTTTGGGAATGGTGGATAAGTCAGTGGCTCTATCTGAGCCAATGGAAATGTTTGATTTCCATCCCTTCTGATTTCTGTATTGAATGTTGCTGCCATATAACTCCAGTCTCCCTAAAACTTTGGCCTTTTTATTTCCCTATTTGAGTGTTGTAAGGTTTTTATTTTCTTGGGTGAGTAGAAATGGATTGAGCGATACAATAGAAGAGAATTCTGAAAGCATACAGAATTTTTCTTCCTTTTTTTTTGACAAGAGGACTTCCAGATAGGAGATGGGTGTATTTAAACTCTCTTGGGGCGCCTGGGTGGCGCAGTCGGTTAAGCGTCCGACTTCAGCCAGGTCACGATCTCGCGGTCCGTGAGTTCGAGCCCCGCGTCGGGCTCTGGGCTGATGGCTCGGAGCCTGGAGCCTGTTTCCGATTCTGTGTCTCCCTCTCTCTCTGCCCCTCCCCCGTTCATGCTCTGTCTCTCTCTGTCCCCAAAATAAATAAACGTTGAAAAAAAATTAAAAAAAAAAAGTAAACTCTCAGGTTAATTTTTCACTTTTTCCATAATTTTTTATATCAGTGATTGTCTCTATAGAGTTATGAAGTTTCAAATGTACTATTCCCAAGACAATTCTTATTTTAATTGATATGAGGAAAATTACTTTTGGATGTGCAAATCCTTGAAAATCCTAGTGCATTGAATAGGTTGGATCCAAACCCCTGATGTGCAAAGTATTCTACTCATTTTTGAAAATAGTTCCTCAACTGAGATGGAGTGGAAATGCAAATAATGACGGTGTCACCTGTCATTTTAATTGTAAAGATGTTTGCGATATTTCATTTTCATAAACTTTAACTTTCAGGGGATTCTTAACCTTAAAAATAAGTCAGTTATTTTATCAGCAAAAATGGATTTATTTGGAATATAAATTGCAATTTGGGACCTGCGAGGACAGCAAAACCCTAGGCACACCCAACAAACAAAAGAACAACATTATTTTATGGACAAGGAGGAAGTTGGGAGGGATTGTTTTGGACAAAAGTCCATTGGACAGAGGCAAGAGTTCAGGGTGATGACAGTTTCTCTGAGTTGTTGATGGCAGTTTTTCTTGATAAATTATAGGGGTGGTCAATTTCTTTTCTTTTTCTGTAAAGGATCCTCCATTCTTATTTTTTATTTCATTTTTAAGATTTTTGTAAGTAGGCTCTTTGCTCAACGTGAGGCTCAAACTCACAATCCCAAGATCAAGAGTCTCATGCACCTAGGCCAGCCAGGTGCCCTAGGGGTAGTCAATTTCTTTCTTTCTTTCTTTCTTTCTTTCTTTCTTTCTTTCTTTCTTTCTTTCTTTCTTTTTTTAAATGTTTATTTATTTTTGAGACAGAGAAAGAGTGTGAGCAGGGGAGGGGCAGAGAGAGAGGGAGACACAGAATCCGAAGCAGGGTCCAGGCTCTGAGCGGTCAGCACAGAGCCCGACACGGGGTTGGAACTCACCAACCATGAGTGCATGACCTGAGCTGAAGTCGGAGGCTTACCGACTGAGCCACCCCGTCGCCCCTAGGGGTAGTCAATTTCTTATAGGAGATGCAATGGACATCTCTCGGCCTGTAATTGACAGTTCTTTCCTGTAATTGACGTGGAGTGGTGTGGTTACCCCTTCTGGTCCCCTGACTCCATTTTATCTTTTGTTTTGTTTTGTTTTTCTTTTGGGTTTTTATTTTTTCATTTATTATTACTGTTTTTCTCTCCACTCCATTTTAGTGAGACTTTGCTCTATTAATTTTCACAGGATTAAATCTTAACATAACTTCTTATATGGAAAAGTGGTTCCCAAATAAAAATAAAAACCATTAAAAAGCAAAATATAATTGATATAGATTTCTCTTTCTGTAAAGTAAATAATGGATGCAAAGGTTAAGAAAATCTGTAAAACATTGAAAATCTAACTTAAGACAATCCCTTGCCAGCATATTGTGGTCCGTGCCGGTCCTGCCCCAGCCACCTTCAGACAACTAGTTTTAATGATTTCTTGTGCATTTTTGTCAGTGTTTCTTTCTATAAAAACGATTAAAAGTGCAAGAGTTTTTCTTTTGTTATAGGAAAGGTGACATGACGTACACGTGCAGCACACTTTTCTTATTTGTTCTATTGCTAATTCTGCAGACCTTTTCGTAGCAATGACAGATGTCTTTGATTTTCAAGTTTATGCAACCAGTTCTAATTAGGCAATCGATCTGCATGTAATATTTTTCTACTTAAGTTCATTAATCAAACTTTTTCATGTTACGTGGTAAGCAAACATACAAAAGGCATATAATTTTCCAACCTTAATTGATGCTTTAAGTTTTATGGTGAAATTTATCGTATTTAGCACACATACAAAGTTTTATTGGACGTTTTAAAACTAATCATGGTGTAAACATCCATAGACTCACCATCTAGATTCATAAATCGGTCTTGGGTAGAGACTCCTGCCATGACCCTCCCTAAATGACGGTCTTGTCCCATCGGTAACTACTGTTTGTTTCTTTGCTTAATCTTCATGCCTTTACCTTTTATGTTTTTTTTACTAAGCAGTGTTCTGCTTACTTTTATCCCTTCGGGACTTTGAATAAATAAATATTAACGGAATTACGCTGAAAAGGCTTCCCCAGGGTTCTTTGCCTCAGTTTGTTTCATACATGCTGCTGTCTGAAACTGCCATCATTCTTCCTTCCATTCCAGTGCTTATGGGATTTGGGTTTTTGAAGTTGTTTGTTTTGTTTTGTTTTGTTTTGTTTTGTTTTTGCTTTTGTGAAAAATGCCACTCCCATGAGTCTTGTTTCAGTGTACGAGTGCAAATGCATGGTACATTTACGACATACTGGAGGAAAATCTCTAGATTGTGGATCATGGCCAAGTTCAGATTTATTAGGAAATTCCAATGGAATGTACCAGTTGATTCTCCAAACATCTGTACATAACTGCTTATTTGTTCCATGTGACCATCAATACCCGACATGATCTAATTTAGTAATTTTTGCCCTTCTTGGTATGAAACAAGATTT